TACCATCACAGATACCACACAATAGCAGTACTTCATTTTATCCTGGTGTTGTGCCCATAAAGTGTTATTTCTTTATTATTCTGTTATCTGTCTCTCAGTTACATTTGTTATCAGATATCTGCCATATATTCAGATTTTTTTCTGGAGAATAAGTATTTGAGAAGTGAGATAATATCAGATTGTTATCATTAAGTAGGCCATTTGTTTCCTCTCTTGGTCAGAGTGAAGTTCGAATTTTGCACAGAAAAAGTTAATGGCACATAGTTTATCTTTGTGAAGACACCTGTGTCCTTCTTAGATAGCTCCCTTATCACTACGGCATGGTACGTCCTCAGGTTATGGGTGGAGGAGATGGCCTCCAGGTATGTAGAGTAACCACAAATATACTGAATCAGCAGTCATGGACAGCTGACAAGGAGTGGTCGTCAAACTGGGGGTGCTGGGCGAGGGGCTAACAATTCTTCACCATAAAAAATAAGCTTGTTACAAAATGTCACAAAGGACCTTGGACTTTGATGGATTTCTTGGATAAAGAACGTATGCTAACAAAAATGGACATGAGATTTGGTACTTAGAATGTACAATAATAAGCGTGCATAAGGCAGGTTTTTTTTTTCCTCGTGAGATGAGACTGAGTCCACTTGGTACTGCAGCCACTGTTTGGCCTGTTGTACCAGCCCCAGATGATGATGATGATGATGATGATGATGATGATTATGCCAAAACTGGTGGAATGCAGATTGGCAGGGGAAGCTGAAGTACTTGGAGAAAATCTGCCCCATTGTCACTTTGTCCACCACAAATCCCACATGACCTGACCCAGGTTCAAACCTGGGCCACCACATTGGGAAACCAGTGACTAAACGCCTGAGCTATGGCATGGCCCATAGGGCAGGTTTGTTCATGACAGTTTTGAAATAAATATCAAAATATAACATTTAGTGGGAATACAGGAGGTCAGATGAGACAGAGGTCCCACCAATTCAGCAGGTAAATATACATTTTTCTCTGGAAAGGGGAATGAGAATCATAAAGTAGGTACAGGTTTTCATGCGTATAAGAGAATTATCTCAGCACTTAAGGGGATCAGGTTTATTAATGATAGACTGTCATACATGATACTACTGGTGTGATGTTCTGAATGTTCATGCCCCAACAGTGGATAAAATTCAATATATGAATGACAGCTTCTATGAGGAACTAGAATGTGTATTCGGTAAGTTCTGTAAATACCATATGAAAATTTTGTTAGGAGATTACAATACATAAGTAGGTAATGAAGGTATTTTCAAACCAACAGTTGGGAAATGGAGTTTATACAAAATTAATAATGATAATGGAGTTAGAGTAGTAAACTTTGCCACATCCAAAAATCTGACTGTCAGAAGTAGAATGTTCCCACATCGTAACATTCTTAAATTTACTTTGATATCTGATGGAAACACTCGATCAGATTTACCATATTTTGATAGATATGAGATGGCGTTCAAGTGTACTTATGTTCAGTCAATCAGGTTGGCAGATTGTGATATTGACCACTATCTGGAGGTGGCCAAAGTTAGGGAGAGACTGGCAGTGAGGAAACAAACAACGCACAGATTTCATATGGAGAGGTTTTTTAATATTGCTAGTGGGGTGGGACTAAGTCCCTTGTACTGCGGCCACTTTTGGCCTATTGTGCCAGCCCCAAACGATAGGTGAGGGTGATTGTGGAGCAGTTGGTGGAATGAAGATTGGCAGGGGAAACCAAAGTACTCGGAGAAAACCTGCCCCAGCACCACTTTGTCCACCACAAATCCCACTTGACCAGACCCGGAATCGAACCCAGGCCACCGCGGTGGGAAGCCAGCGACTAACCGCTTGAGCTATGGTTTAATCTCAAATTAAACGAGATAGAGGGTAAAGGGCAGTATTGTGTTGAAATCTCAAATAGGTTTTGCAGCTTTTGAAAATAAAGATGCTGAGGTGAATATTAATGGAGCTTGGGAAACTATTAGAGAGAATATAAAAATTTCGGCCAAAAGTGAGTCTTGTTTATTATGAATTGAAGAAGCATATGCCCTGATTCAACATAGGTTGCTCAGAATTATTAGATCAAAGGAAGCAAAACCAAATTGCAGTGGTTACAGGTATAACCCATTCATTATAAGTAGGCTTATATGATGAATGTCAATTAGGAGTAATTAGTTTGTAAGATATAACATAATTACAGTCAAGGAGATATTCATGTTCTTGTATTTAGAATGTGACACGAGACCATTCTTGCTGAGAGACAGAGTACTGCTCATTGTACCATTTCTTGGAGTTTTTAATTATCAGAGATAACAGCAAACCTTTTAGCAATCTAAAATATTCAATGGTTGGAGCTAGCTATAAATTAAAAGAGTGTAAGTTGCAGTGGACGGAAATTGATAATGTATCCAGAAAAGTTATAGAACGTTGGAGTTTTAAAGGATTAAATTCATCCTGTAGGCAAATTTCTTTGGAGGAAATATAACTCTGATAATCCTTTAACTTTGAATTGGACCAGTAATGTAAGTCGTAAAAGGTTCTATGTTCAAAATTTACTGGGTGGTGCATTTGACTCCTTGTAAGGACTGCTTCTCAAAAAAATCTCCGTGACATGCTCTTGTGCTGTATAGACACAAAATCCACATCTGTCCATCCAAGTATAATATTAGGCTGAAAAATCTAACACTAAATTGGTGTAACTTTGGCTTGTAACACAATAGTGTTTTCTATAGATGTAACTAAGTATAAATTAATTGGTGAACAAAAAAAAAAGACATAATATTATTAAATTGAAGCCAGTACGGATGGTAACGAAATTCAACTAATGTAAATTTTCTAAGTCTGTGTGAATAAATGTAACTATGTGTAAAAGTCATCTGGAAGAGATATTACTCTATGGTGATAAGAATTAACCTAGTCCTGTTTATGTGAGGCGTGATAAAACCATGAGACAGAGTTCAACTCTACTGTACTGTCCAGTAGACACCCCAACCTCTACTTTTACCTGGAGACACTATCCACATTTTACATACATACATACATACATACATAGATACATAATTTCACAGATCCATTGTCCGGAAACTGGACAGGATATTGAATTCATCAGCAAAATGCAGTCTAGTCTCAACAATTAAAATATTCAAGAATTATAAAATGAAAAATACAATAATAAAATAAAAACAGTCATATAACAAATCTAGATAATACATAATCTTGGAAAGACAACAATAATGTATTATGCTTGCCTGTATGCCATGTATTCATCTACCGAATAAAATGCATTTAAAATAAGATAATCTTTTAGCCTTTGTTTAAAAGTATTAATATTGTCTTTCAAAGAATATATATTGTATGGCAAGTTATTAAATATTCTAATGGATGAAAAATGCACACTCTTTTGAATGGAAGATAATCTCACAAAGGAAACATGTAGTTTATTATGCCACCTAGTACTTAATTTGTGTATGCCATTATTCACCTGATACATATCAGGATTTTTGAGTACAAACAAGACTATGGAATATATATATAAACAGGGGACAGTAAGTATGCCCGTTGTCTTAAAGCCTTCCCTACATGAACTCCTTGGCCCTAATCTTAACAAGACTCTTAATGCTCTTTTTTGTACAGTAAATATACTTTTCATTAATGAAGAAGAGCCCCAAAAAATGATATCGTAATTAAGTTGAGCCTGCACATGAGAAAAGTAAACCATACGTAAAACTTGTCCACTCACCGTAGGCTGCAATTTTCTAAGCATGAAAATTGCAGTACTTAATTTTTTTATTAAATTATCCGAATATTGTTTCCACTTGAGATGACTGTCAAGGCACACACCCAAGAAATTAACACTTTCATGAGTATTAATAACTTGATCGTTATATTCCACATGTAATGGATAGTCCATGGTCATAGGCGTAGTAAATTTAATTACATGCGTCTTCTTTAGATTAAGGACTAATTGATTATTTTGAAACCATTCACAGATATGATTCCTTATTTTATTTATTTTATGATTCAATGTGGTGATGTTTTTGAGGAAACAATAATGGTGGTATCATCCGCGTAAAGAATGGTATGAGCCAAACCATCTAGAGTACTTGGCAGGTCGTTAATGTAAACATTAAATAGTAATGGTCCCAAGACAGAACCCCGGGGAACACCATGTCTGCAGGTTACCCATCTAGAAAGAAAGGTGGTTGAGTCATGAGTGTGTAATACAGTTCTCTGTTTCCTATTATGTAAATATGATTTGAGCCATTTCAAAATACATCCTTTAATACCATAATGTTCTAACTTTTGGATTAGTAGGTTGTGCTTGACACAATCAAAAGCCCTTGTAAGGTCACAAAATACACCTACCACTAGTTCTTTGTAATTCCATGCCTTATAAATACCTTCTGTTAGTTTGAAGATAGCATTTTGTGTAGATATACCATTTCTGAATCCAAATTGCCCATCCACAATAATATTATTGTTTGTCAAATGTTGTTTTAGTCTATTAAAGACTAATATTTCAAATAATTTAGAAAAACCTGTCAATAAAGAAATAGGCCTATAATTAGATATCTCAGATGTATCACATTTTAAGTAACTCTCTCATATTACTCATTCCCAACCCCCAACACTACCTCCGTAAATCTGTCGTTGCAACTATTACTAATAGGGAAGGCATGGAGGAGATCATCAAAGGTGTCTTCCATGAGAGTGAAAATGCATAGAGGTAAGGAACTGGTGATAACCTCAAAGTGATTCTGTCATAAAGCATTCTCCCCCTTATGTGTTGACCTTATCAGAGAATTATCACCAATGTAGTAGTGTAGTGTGGTGTGTGTCAAAAAGATGGTTGCAGTAACTGTCCCTGAAACTTGGTGCCTGGGAACCAAACTGCATGGTATCGTGTCCAAGAAGACAATCTTCGTAGTCACCGCCGTGCGAAACTGAAATCTCACACTTTGAAGGTTTAATTTATTTTTTTATTTCAGCCATTCATGAGATATCACATAATCTGGCATTTGGATATGCAAGGCCCATGGCTAATAAGTTGCTTGGAATCTTTGTTAACCTCCCAATTGGAATCCCGTTTTCTGTTAGTTTTAAAAAGTACCACTTGGAGCACCACAGGGTATGTACTGCATTTGTATTCTTTATTAGCTGTAAGGACATATGGCTGTAATGCTGTCAATAAGTCTTAATAGAAACATGAAATAGAGTACCTTTTTTATTTAAAATGGAAATGATCCAAAAGGTACTGGACTTCCAGTTTTTCTCTCATTTATACATGTGTTAAGAAAGGGTTACATTCTCAGATGAGCAAAAAAGTCACAGTTAACATACATCCAGAAATCAGTGCCTTCTGAGATACAGGTGACCCTAGCATTTGGCTTGATACTAGGATAACACTGCAGTATGTATTAAGACAAGGTCAATGCACATCATGTATGATGGTTTATTTTCCTTTCCATGTGTTGTGACTATCTCAGTAGACTGTGGATATACTACTTACATGCTGTTAAGGAAGGAGCAGTGATAGTTGGTGTTGTGACACTCATTTGATTTTAAATCAATTTACTGGTTTTGTAATTGAATCTTATTACACTGTTTGGGAAATGGCGATTTTACGTGTGGCCGCACCATTGGAAATTCCCAGGAAGCATGTAACCTCTACACAGGACATTACATACAATGCAGAATCCCATCCCACAAATTATTCCCCAAACTTCACCAGCGACTGAACAAATGTAGGTCCTTTGCTCCACAGGCATGGGATTATGAAAGGCTTATAATCAGTTTGAAGTACCGATATGGAAGTTTGTGTGCTGAGAAGAATGGAAGAAGATTTCAGAGCCAGTGTGCAAAGAATTGCAGCTGCCCAGGATATCTGTGTCACTTATCTGGACAATTCTCCATGAACAGTCACTTTACCCGTACCACATCCAGTGTGTGCAAGTCCACACTCTTCCTGACCATCATGCAAGGGTGGTGTTTCGCCAATGGCTTCTCCCAAAATGTGTCATAAACACAGTTTGTAGCTAACATGCTATTTACTGATGAGGTGGGATTGACGAGGGATGGTATTGTGAACTTTCATACTATCCATGTCTGGGTGGCTTCAAGGCATCATTGATTTTCCATCAATGTCTGAGTTGGCATCTTAGGTGATCAACTCTTTGGACCAGCTGCTGCTTTACCTAACACAGTTAAGAGGTGCATTTTTTGGTGAATGATCTACCAGCACTCAAGGACTGTCTCTCTCTTCATCACTGACAACACCTGTGGTTCATGCCTGGTGTGGCACCACCTCTTTTTCTCCACATTGTTAAGCAACACCAGAACCAGACTTTCGGTGAGCAGTGGGTAGGGTGCCAGGGCCCAGTCAACTGGCTTGCACAATTCTCTGACCTTAATTGTCTGGATGTTTGGATGTGGGGACACCTGAAGACTTCAGTGCTGATCAGTGATTTAGAGGTATAACAGCAATGAGTAGAGAATGCCTGTCAGATCTGAGTGAAACCAGGAATTCTTTTAAGAAATGCACACCTCTGTGTGAAGAGGAGCTGAAAGTTATGTAGAGTTCACATATACATTGCCCATATCTCAGCAGACATTTGTTTCTGGCCATATGTTGACTGGGAGTTTTTGCTCATTTAAGTGAGTACTATGCCTCCTGAAAGCCTCTAACCTTTTTTAACACTGTATAATACCTATGTAATGGTGCCAGTGGAAGTACATTGTTGTTATACTGTACTGTATTGATATCACCTGTTTGCAATATAGAGTGGTCATAATTTAATGGATTGCCAATGTGATCAGTACAAAGCACAGAGTTGGGGTTCTGGTTAGTCAGTATTAAAAAAAGTAAATGTATGTTATTTTCACAAGAAATTAACTTTGTTAACAGAATGAACTTTGAAATATCTTGACATTTGAGGTCAAATTGTATCTTCTTAAAGGAAAATAATCTTCGCAGGCAAGAAGCACCATGAATGATATAGTGCAGCAATACAGAAGCTGTAACTGTCTCTTAATCATTCATGTCCTTACATTTGTTAGAACAGAGATAGAGAATCCTTTACTGTGCTTGTTCCAAAATTGTAAGAATAAAATGTACAATTTTCCATTATTAATAAATGATAGATGAACGTAACATTTCTCATTTTGAAGTGTATTGTGTTGCTGAATTAGCAGGAAGAGAGTTCATGAATGCTTTCTTTTTGTTGTGTGACAAATCTCTTGTACCACATATGTCTAGGTGTTCCAGTTGTATGACATACCAAGTTTGGAATTGCACTTGGCATGTATGAATTTTTATCATTCAGGATAAAATGCAGTAATAATTGAAAAATATGATAATTTAATTTCTAATGCATGTCCTTGGAGAAAAGTAAAATAGCCATACTTCTGTCCAGACATGAAAAGTATTTTATGTGCACTTAACAGTGTAAGTCTGTGTGTTCATTGTAGCATTGTTAGGATTAAACTGAACCATAATTGTGCATATCAGTTGGAACTGAAAAATGTTCTCTTTGTACTTGCAAAACGTATCTCAATTTTTGTTTGTTTTGTGATTTCTGTGTTTTTAGAATATCTTGCTCCTTTATTGTGATAATTCACAACACGTACTAGTGAGTTAGAATTAGCTTAAATTTAACAGATAACATCTTTAGTGTTCTTTCTTTCTTTCTTCCTTCCTTTCTTTTTTTTATTATTATTATTTGTGTGTAATATTTCAATGGAAAAAATGTTTGAGAATAACTCCATCCTACAGTTTAGGCTTTTAAGGCCCAAGGCCTTAATATCTACTTTATTTTTTGTTTGTGGTGCACTGTTTTTGAGATGCAGTAATGTTCTAGTTATGCTGCAGCAGTACTAGACAGTTCTGTGTTAATTTTCTGCAGATTAAAGTTATTTGCAGTTACATGCAAATGGAAGTGTTTATTAAACACATGCTTTTATTGCTGTTATTAGAATGGTTATACTCATACAGGCATTTTAATGCATATACTGTGAAGTGTCATGAGTTCATTATGTTAATAAATTCATACTGCAGCAGAGAACTTTTGATGATCACAAAAGAAAGATTGTATGTATTGTACCAAAAAATTGATATTTTAAAGTGTATACAAAAATATTTTAGCAGATGCCTTCCTCTTCTTTAAAATGGACCAGGTGATTACAAGGTTACTCTGAAGAAATTTTACTCTGATCTGAATATGTAAAAGTAAATTATTTTATCTTTGTTACTAGTACCAAGGTGATGAGAAACTGGATACAGATCTTCCAACATACCTGGAAGCCAAGTTATTTTGCAACACATTTGGAAAGTTCTGCTGGGTGGCACTGCAGCCATTTTTCTACGCATTACGTCCCATTATCACATACCCAAAGAGTCCCACAAAATTTGAAGTCATCAATGTTATTGTGCAACTTGCATTTGATATTCTAGTCTACTATTTATGTGGTAAGTCTTCAATTTTGGTACACTTGTTTATATATTGAAATTATTTTAAAATAATGCCTTTTCATTTGAAATTGTTCCTTTATAAGGGTTATAATATTGTAATGAGCCACTTCAATCCGCTTCACATTTTCATCACATGTGCGCGCATACACACGCACACTCCATCCATGCTAGGTCACCCATGTGGTTTCTTCCCATTAGATTTTCACCAGATTTTTAATACAGTCTCAGTTTCTGCATACATGTTACATGCCTTCCCCATATCTTTTTTGGTAAATAAAGGGAAAATTATAAAACTATTCACGTAATTTTGTTCTTTCTCCTCTTGTTTCATCTCTGTCCCCCCCCCCCTTACAGTAAACAGACCAAATTTCATGTATGCATGAAACATTAAGTGAACTTACTTTTACATACAGTGTGACTGTCTGAGAACTTCCCAAAAATTGCTGGGCTACTTAGAAAGAAGGGAAACATGCTCCTTGCATCAGCTCAGGCTCAAGGGATTCACATTATCTTATTTTGTGGTAGCTTTTAATCAATCTATTTGAATAGTTTTTTTAGTGGTATTGAAGAGAGTTTGTATAGGCTCGTTGTCTGTTGATACCACTACTATTCAGAATCTGTGCAACCCAAGTTAACACAAGGGGTGTCCTTCTGCTCTGGCATGATCAGCTAGGTGATTTTTGGGAAGCTGCCACACAGTTGCACCGTGCTGCAGTGGAAGAAGAACAAGGAAAAAAAATTTTTTGACAAAATGATAATATGCATTTATTAAGTTTATTTTATAAGAGCTCCTGATTTCTTAAGGACATAAATGAATTTTGCTTTCTGCATAGTTAGGAACATGTGTAATGAAAACTGTTTTGTATATAAATTACTGAACTAAATAAAAATACCTTTGTAAAATCTTGAGCTCTGTTTCTGCCAGGATCTCAATAAGCCTACTTTCATTATATTTTGAATACAAAAGAGAGAAACTGAGTTGACAGAAAGTCACCACAAACATCCAGATTTGTTGTTGATCTTGTTCTCGTACCTGTTAACATTTTTTCTGCAGGTGGTAAGGTTGTAGTCTACATGGTAGCAGGATCTTTGCTTGCTATGGGCCTTCATCCTGTGGCAGGCCATTTTATCTCAGAACATTATATGTTTCGCAAAGGATATGAGACATACTCATACTATGGCTGCCTTAACTGGATAACGTTTAATGTGGGTTACCACAATGAACACCATGATTTTCCTGCTGTGCCAGGATCTAAGCTGCCAGAGGTATGTAAACAAACATAATGAGCATCAGAGTAAAAGCAGGTAGTCAGTAGTAGTAGCTGCTGCTGCACCTGCAGCAGTGGTAGTGGTAGAACTAATAATAGCAACAGCGGCAGCAGCATCAGTAATAACAAGAGCAAATAGTAGTGGCAAAATAGACTTTTGATTGGGTTGAGAGATAAACTACTGTGTTTTTGGTAACAAATATAGATTAAATGAATGTAAGTGCATAGTGACCATCTCATCTTCTTAGGTACTGGGTATCAGAATGTTCTGGTTGTGTACATTTTGAAATATAACCTTCCTAATATTTTAGTATGTCACTCCTGACTTTGTGTTGTATGACCTCTAGGAATGTGTCACTGCACATTGAACTCTTTCCTTTTTCATATCTTGCAAGTTGCTCTTTCAAGCACTTCTTAAAACAATGTGACAGAACTATGTAGTGGATAGTCAGGTTCTTTAACATTGTATGTGGATTTTTACTGAAATGTGAGATTTTACAGTGCTACATTGCTACTGGCCTTTTTCACAATCCATGAAAGACATGTGTACTGAAGAAGTAACTGTGAGGTGGGGTTCTCCAGAAGTATGAAGACAAGGCTGAAGACATTAACTTTTGATACCCATGCATTGAATTATTGTAACACCCCACACATGGTCCAGCTGACCAAGCCTTGCATATTTTCAATACTAATGTGATTACCTTTGAGTTAAAAGAGGGTGCAAGCCTCATAGTGCCAGAGGATTTAAGATCCCCTGTTCATGGATATTAGAGATTAAATCTAGAAGAAGAATATGCTGCTAAATCATTTGTTTCATACAATATGTTTCCATCTACAGTGCAACTTATTATTGTCCCTCCTTGCTCCTCACAACATGGTTCGGCCATGTACATGTTGTGAGAAGCAAGGAGGGACAATTATAAGTTGCATTGTAGACAGGAACATATTGTATGAAATTAAATGATACATTAATGTAACACGATGCTTAAATATAATATTATGCTGCTAAGTGGCAAACCCAAAATAACAAGTGTGGGATATAGTAAATATCGTGGTTGTGATGCAGACCTTTGTAGGAACAGACAGGTAGACACCATCCGTAACTTTTAGGTATAAAGTTGTTGTGAATTGCACACTTGGTCCTTAAAAAGAAATAATAAAGCTATCCCTGTACCAGGCTGTGAAGGCCCATAGGATTGTGAGATGTTGAGGGTCCCACATTGTATAGACAGTTGGCTCAAAGATGGCAGTAAGGTTGTCAGCCTTATGCGCCAGCCGTGCTTTACTCCCCACGAAAATTATTTAATTAATTCCTGGTACTCATTTCTGTTAGAGGCTGAGTTGACCCCAGGGCCATAGTGCAGCTGGAAGGATTAGGGCAATTGAAAAAATCCATTGACCTCATCGGGACTTGTAACCGCAACCTTCCAGCTTGGTCCTAGTTGATATAAAGTGTTAACCCAGGGATTTTCTTATGATCCCACTTAGGCAAGGTGTGGAGGCAGCCATTAGCACCATTTAAATATGTTCTCCTGTCTCACTCCAGCAAAAATTGCCAGGGATGAAGAAGTTTGAGTGGATCATATCACCATCATGATCATCACATGTGACTTGTAATTTGCACTGACCAAGATATTAGAATTAATGTTAGGAGGAAATTACCTTATACATTTCAATGGGGAAAACTTGCAGGTAGTTAAGAGGTAATGTATGTCTGTCATGTTACTTTAGTTGTGCATATGGTATGTACTTACAAAGTACACATTTGCTTTTTTGCTAATGAGTTAATGACCAGAACCTATGGCAAATGTATCCTGTTCTATGGGTAGTTATTGGTTGAGGGGCACTGAAGTGATTTGAATTGAATTGAATTTATTTACATTCTATAAATCCTAAGCAGGTTAGTACCTTTGGATACAGAACAAGTCAAAATGTTACATACATAAGTACAGAGTGCAGAGTGAGCAGCTCAAAGTTTTAGTAGTGCAGTAACTGCTGTGAACAGATAATGAAAAAAATTAGTTCTTGGGTTTTGCTAGAAGAAATTTCCTGAGTTAGCTACTGTATTGAAGAATGTGGAAGGATGTGAGAATGATAGCACTTTCATCTCTGAACAGTGGTTTGAAGTTCAATGTATAGTCCATGTTATGAGATACAGATAGAGTGAAATTGTCCATCAGCGTCATTGTGAGTCGGTGAATGAAAATGAGGATCGAGAAATAGTTAATGTGAGAAAACAGTCTTGCACAGCATGAATGATAGGTATGGAAACCCATCACCATGATCTAGCACTGCGAGGATACAGCAGTTTATAACATGTCAAGGAGAAGGTTAAATGTTAAAATCATCACTGGATATTGTGAATGTGAGTTAGATTATAAACTGCAATGTGAAGGCACTAACCTTTTTCCTGTTACTTTTTTAAAAATTTGTCATTGCCCTTTGTTTCCAGCAAGTTAAGAAACCTTCTCCAGCTGGGTCACTGCTTGTCTTACCAGGTCATGGCTTACTGTCCCAGCAACTTATTAAACCTTTTCCATATGGTTGCTGCTGTTTTGCCTGGTCATGGCTTCTTTCTAAATGGCTAAGTATCCCAAAAACTTAGAAAACCTTTTCCATATGGTTGCTGCTGTTTTGCCTGGTCATGGCTTCTTTCTAAATGGCTAAGTATCCCAAAAACTTAGAAAACCTTTTCCATATGGTTGCTGCTGTTTTGCCTGGTCATGGCTTCATTCTAAATGGTTTAGGTCCTAACAACTTACTACAGAAGATGTTTTCCATATGGTTGCTGCTGTTTTGCCTGGTCATGGCTTCATTCTAAATGGTTTAGGTCCTAACAACTTACTACAGAAGATGTTTTCCATATGGTTGCTGCTTTTTTGCCTAGTCATTTCCAAGTGGCTTAGGATCCCCACAAGGTTTTCTTATCAGTATGCATCATGTTGTATATTCCAAACATATATAGTTAGGTTAAAACCATCACCACAACAAAAATGTATACTCGATTTAATGTTTTATAATTAAAGCTTTTATTTCTGTCACAATTACTATTGTGGATCTATACTAGTGCCATGTGTTGTACTATAACAGAATTTGCCTCAATAATTGTAATACTTATTATCTAACTTGAGGCAAATTCTGTTATAGTACGACATGTTGCACTAGTATGGATCCATAATAGTAATTCAATGACTAGATGTATTCCCATATTAACTGCCTGATGATGGTCCTATGTGACTGAAACATGTAGCAGAAATAAAAGTTTCAATTATAAAGCATTAAGTCGAGTATACTTTTTTGTTGTGATGGTTTTAACCTAACTATTTAAACTTTTCTTAATCTTTCCCTAGCAAGGTTGCTGCTTGTGGTCTCTTGCCAAATGACTTAGGATCCACCGACTTAGAAAACGTTCATCAGCTGATTGCTGCCTGGGTTCCTTGCTGAATGACTTAGATGGAGCCATTTTCTTTAAACTTGTCTTTTTCACCTCTGCATATGTTTTTGCCTTAAATACATTTGAAACTTGTGTTTTCACAGGTAAAACGAATAGCAGCTGAATATTATGACAATTTGCCACAGCATAACTCATGGGTTAGTGTTTTATATGACTTTGTGATGGACCCTGACATTGGACCTTACGCACGTATGAAGAGGAAAAATCGTGGATTGAAATCATAAGTAAAATTGTAGAATAACTCAAAATACCTTTCACGCATTTATGATGGATCTGAATGCCTGATTTGATCTTTTCAGTCTGTTGGCATCATCAAAATGTTAATTTGGATGCCTTTATATTTACCCTTATGTAGAAAGAGATATTTGTACATATTACTTCAGTGATTTGTGGGTATTTGATCAGTGCCAATTTTTTCTTTTTTCTTTTTGGCATGCTCAAATTATGATATGTATTCCATAATAATATTAAGGTTGAACTGGATGGTTATGAGATAATTTATGTAGAACAGTACATGAACTTTACTTAACAAGTCACTGTGCTTGTGTTATCTAGGCATAAACTTTCAAGCAGTCTAGTTGTAGCCAAATTGTAAGATATGACATGAAAATGTCTTGCAATTTGATCCCCACATGTTGCTACAGTTCTAGAAATTGATTATAAAATAAATTCACTTGTAAATACATGTGACAAGACTTATGGCATGTACCTTTGCAAACTACAAACAATTTTGTGTGTAATGTTATTGTTCATAAGTCTTATTGAAACAAAGTAAGTTGAAGCAACACTGTAGTGTGAGGGATTAGCTGCATGGAGAGATACTCATGAGAAAGTACAATGATGGAAAAAGATTGTTATCATAAAGTTATGACTCAATTCAGTGAAAGTATTTAAATAAGATAGTTATATACAAATGCATACCTATCAAAGATGAGTCCTGAGTCAGGGGCATTGTCAGATTGCATGAAATTACCAAGTATATTAAAGTTTGGAAACACTACAGCCAGCTGGGTAGGTGAACAGGGGATTGCATTACAGATATTTTTATATTTTTCTAAGTTACAACATGTGACTTGGTTTGTAATAATGTATCATTTCTGTACTTGGAAGCTGTTTTCCCCCTTTATGAAAGAACTGGTTCATTGTATGGAAACAGTTAAACTGCAGCACCATTTCTCAATCTGTGTACCCAGTTGGGTTATCACTGTATGGAAAGAAACAAAATGATAATACTGGAGCTATCTTCAAAACATTTTTATGAGATATCCATTTCTAACTCTTCATACTGTGCATCATCTTGTTTACATAGCATATATGAGTCTCTATATTTATGTTGTGTAATTGTAGCTTTGTTGTATTGGTTATGTGAAGAAGATCAGAATTGATGTGACATGTAGTTTAATTAAGATCTAAAAGTTTATGACGATGGTAAATTGTTACAAGTAATATGTTTTTGGACATTATCCATCATCTTGTCTATTCTTAAAAAACCATCATGTTTCCTTTAAAAACACAACGTTTCGGGGACTGGATTCTGTCCCCATCCTCAGGTAAAACCTACTCAGTTGGGTCCAATAGACAGAGCTAGCCCCTGTCTCCGGAGGGATAGGGGCTAGCTCCAGTCCCAAAAACGTTGTGTTTTTAAAGGAAACAAGATGGTTTTTTAAGAGTAGACAAGATGATGGATAATGTCCAAAAACATATTACTTGTAATGTAGTTTAATGTATGAAAAAAATTGTATGCAGAATCTCCATGGAAAGACCTGTTATAAAGCAACCATTTTGGAGGATCAAGAATGAGGTGAAATTTTATTATTAAAATTGATCTAAGGGAATTAGGTTGTAAGTACACAAACTTGACTGAAGTGGCTTTGGTTCATGTCTGATTTTGGCTATGGTGTTATGACTTTTGGACCTCAGGTTCTGATACCAGACAGTCACTTCTGTTNCCCCCCCCCCAACAATTCAGTCTCATAAACTTCTGCATTTGGCCTGCTTACTTTAGTCACCCATATGGAAATATACATACATGTAGGTTACTTCATTCCCTTAAGGTAGAGTTATCCCTCTGATGAAGCATCACAGAGTGAAGACACATTAGGGCCACAAACATGAAGCTCCATGCTTTAGCTCTCTTTATGTGGAACCAATTGTACAGGCATTTGGCTAGACCACAGAGTTAATGAGCATATGATGGTAAAGAAAAATGTTTCAGCAGTCCTGTTGATCTTATCTGTGGCCCGTAGTTTAGTATGGCTTAGCAACTATTATTATGTGAGAGTAAATGTAACAAAACCAAGCCCAGGCCATTAGCTAAATTTTTACATTTTCCATTTCTACAACTTTATTTGAATCATTTGTAAATATTACAATTTTTTATTTTCATTTGTGAAATTAGTCCTGAGATGAAACTGGAAAATTCTTGTAAGCTGGCTAGTTCTTACATTTAAGTGTTTCAGTTTTGTTGAGAGATGACATAAACCACTGCATACCACATATATAATGATTGTATTTAGTATTCTTTAAGCTAGTGCTGAGGTTCAAATTAATGAACCCATGCATCCTCTTTGTAACTTGTTGTGTAACCAATTAAGCATAAGGGCAACTTTACTTTTACCTAATCATGGCCTCCATTATAACATGCCAGAAGCAACATAAAAATTGGTTCCTGAGTGTGTGAAACTTTTAGAGGAGGTTAAAATTATAGGTTGTTTTATAACACTTTGAGTGGCTAGACTATATAGCTATATATTTCTTTCACGAAACTATGATAAAATTTACTGCTTGTCCTATAGCACACTGAGCAGAAATTCTTGACAAGGTATATGGGGAAACAAATGGTGTTTAAAAGTGAAAGGCCATTGCGTTAGATAAGATCAGTAAGGAGAAACAGGGCAAGAAACGTTTGTCCAGTTATGGACACGTGTTACACATGAATGCCAGTTGTTTTCCTCTGAGAAAGTCTAAGGCAAAGATGTCAAATAAATATCCATTGAAAAGGCAAATGAGAAACTACTTGTGGAAGGATGCAGAATATTGGAGAAGTTCATGAAATAACCCTCTGTGATAGAAACATAGTATAGTTGTAGTACTTAGAGCTGACAGTCCTCCACCGCAGAGTAGGAGAAGTATTGGTAGTGGCGGGGAGAGCTCCAGCAAGCCGACAAGTGTGGCGGGGAATGCAGTACAGGTGTTCTCAAAAGGAAATAATTTCTAACCTCATTGTGTTGCATAGTGATGGTGGTTTATTCACGTTGATGTTCACACATCCGATGTTAAGTTTTAAGTGCCAAATGGCAGACTGTTATGCACTATACACTATTATACACTTCTCACTGTTATATACATGAAGAGTTTATTTACATATTACACAGGTCTATTCTAAAGGGGCAACACCAGCAATGTCCGCATAGATATCATCTCCACATGCCTGTCCTTCCTCGTCACCACCAGATGAATCGGAGCTGTCATCAGAACTGTCATCGCTATCACCGCCAACATGGAAGACAAACTCCCGTCGTGCGTCCAGAAGGCCTTCCCGTGCCATTAATTGTTGCTCAATGTTCCTTACTTGTTGGCACCTATGTTGCCATTCTTCTGCAGTTATGGAAGCCAATTTTTGGTGTGCCAGTTTAATGTCATCATCCATCTTGAATGTGGTATTGTTTTGAGCAACCAAATTTTTTGCGGTGGCCCATATTAACTCAATTGGGTTGAGTTCTGGGTGATACGGAGAGAGTCGTAAAATATTGTGATTGTGTTCTGCAAAGATTCCATGTATTTTATGGGAAAGGTATTTCGGTTTGAATGGTAGAATCATATTATATATATCTGGATTCCACAATGATGACAAATCAGTTTTATTGAAGGTAATAGGTGGAAGGTGATATATTAGCCAGGATATCATAAAATCTGTTCTTGAATTTGAGTTAGGGGCTCTGTTTAGTTGTACATTATGGTAGGGAGCATTATCAATGACAAGGACAGAATTTGGGGGAAGGTTAGGAATAAGTCACTCCTTTAACCATTTTTCATAATTGGTGTAGTTCATGTCACTGTGATAGTCTCCTGTTTTTTGGTGGGATTTGAAGCGGACATAGGCATTAGGGATGAAACCTTGATCTCCCCCTGCATGGATAACAATGGGCCGTTGGCCTTTGGACACGGGAAAATAATCCCTGGATGGATCATCACTCCATGCATATGGGGTGGTGTGCGATGAATGAATATAGGCTTCTTCCATGTGGATGATAGGACGGCCCTCTTCCTTATATTCTTTAATTTACCGCAAATACTGAAGACGTTTGGCTCTGATATTATATCGTTCCACCAGTATCTGCTGATTATTTTTTGTTTTCTTCCAGTGGAACCTGAGTTTCAAAATAATTTTCTTTAATGTGGAGATGCATCCCTGAAAATCTAACATTTTCTTCAACTTTTCGTGAACTTTTTTCAGGGTAGGTCTCCGTTTTTCGACTATGTAGAAGTCATTAATTGTTCTTTGCACCACAGACTCGTTAAAGTTGTCAAAAGTGGCTAGTAGAGATTTCCTAGGTCTTTCTTTATAGGGTGTCAAAAAGGAAATGGAAGCCCCAGATTCGATATTTTTTGTTTCTCTTATTATTCTTCTGACACTACTTTCCAATACACCTGTTTCCTTTGCTACTTCCACTCCTATGTTCTTCACTGTAATTGTTGGCCCAGCCTCTTTCATATATTTATATGCATTACTAACAATTTCTCTTGATTGTGAATGCAACACTTTTCAACTCAGTTTACTTCGTGTTGGTGGCATGTTAAAGGAGATAGAACAACATGTACAAATATAAATAAACAAAAAAGAAAATCAATGAATAAAAATAATAAAATAAAATATTATCACGTGTCATGACTTGACTTCTTGCCCAATACTTCAATGCGACATCTCAACTATCTTTGGCCGTGGTTGGATCTCAACTGTCTTCGGTGATGGCTATCCCAGTACTGACTTCTTGCTGTCTTGTTGCTGTCTTCTGTCTCTGTAGCTCTCGGCTTGTGTAGGTGTTCTGCGGACTGGATACCAGACACCATTCCTCACAGTTTCGTTTCTACTGTCCGCTGTTATGTAACAGGCGCAACAAACTATGTAGTTCATTTCTGGGGAGACGCATTCGTTGCTTCTGCATTGTCTATGCAACGGCTCCATGTTCTTTGCGTTACCATGGAAGTGCCTATTCCAAACTCACGTGTTCGGCAATCCGTTGCCTCGGGAACGCTCCTTCGCAACGGTCTGTTTGTATTCGATTTGTCACTGTTGAAACTCAACAATTTCCATTGTAGCCATTGCGCGGCGATGGACATAAGGCAACGCGTCACAATATTAATACAGTAATTAGAGAATAATACACTCAGATACGACTCCAAGAGTGAAAACGTTTTAACTTGACTGTACGAGGAAGAATGCTTTGAGACGTCTGCTCGCACTGAATGTAGATGAACGACTAATCACAACACACCTCAACTTTCACGAATGGACCTGCCCATCCACTGCGCAGCTTTTCCTGGACTGTCACTTCTAAATACTAGAACTATAGAGGTATAACTGGATTTAGAGTCAACTCTGTTATGATTATATGTGATTATCAACTCTTCAAAAACTCTGGTGAAAACACAAACTTAAATTAATATTGAATTCCCCCCCCCCAAAAAAAAGAAGCTATTCTATGGGGTTCATCAGTGTAGCAGATGTAAACCTGTTTATTACTCTTAGTGATTTTCATCTCTGCAATTCAGATACATTTCCAGTCAACTTGCATTCATTATCACAGCAACTGAATAAAAGTTTGCAGAGTAGAATTTCATGTGAGTTGCAGATTTGTAACATTTAAAAATTAAGCTTTCAGATTGTCATTTATATATGGATTGGTGAAATTATTGTGTAATCATGCCATGTAACTGGAATTGAGTGCTTTGCCTTGTTTTTTAATTTCATTACATCTGTATGCTATGGGTAGCACACTAATTAATTGCCCTTAATGTCATTATGTTCAACTGTAGTGGCTGTCCGAATGTACATTTTGTTGCATTAAATTTGGCAGAGGGTTTCTAGATATTGGGTAAGTACGGTACAAACTATTGCTTGTGACTGATTATTCATTACTATAAGCTGTGAACAGAAATAATGATAATCTTTACCAGTTCTTAACTTATCTACATACCAGTTCTTAACTTACCTACTCTGTATTCTTTCATCTCATCAGGAACGTTTTATTTCTGTCTCTGTGATTGCTTTGTTCTTGATATAAAGCCACATTAGTTGTTTATTTCATTTTGCTCAAAATAAATTTGTTTTAAATGTTATGTTCACAGTAGTATTTTCTTTATATGTAAATGTCATCCATCACCTGGTTTTTCCTTATGTAGAAGTTCAATGATGATTTCATGGAACTAATAAAAGCTGATGTAAGTTTTGTGCTATCATTGGATTAACTCTTGTATGTTTGTATAGTTTAGATTAAATACTCTCTAAGTATTAGAATAATAATGGGATATTACACTTTATTTTTGTTTATTTCACTACAAGTAAAAGTTAATGACC